CTGGGCTTCTCCCATTGTAGCAACAGTCCTCTGAATAGTACTTGAAGAGCTGAGCTCAGCCACCTGTCCAGTTTCCCACAATGCCCCAGACTGATGCTAGGGCAGAATGCATTATGGGAAATCAAAAGTGTGGTTACATGCAGCCACCTGGTGCCACTAATAAGGGGATAGGAGGCAGCAGGAAGCCTTGGCAGCTACACAAGACTGGCAGAGACACATGGCAGACTTTTCTCAGGGAGTAGTTTATGGTGTGCCAAGGAAAGATGAATGTGCAGGTCCTGACTTGTTTAGGAGAGAGCTGACAAAGTCACAGTATGGATAAGAGGCTTGACTTTTGTAACTAGCTGGAAGGAGGGATTCCTAGACAGCATAAAGCTGCATGGGTTTTGCAGAGCAGAGGGGCTCAAGGGCAGTCCCTTCCCCCTTGAAATGTCATCCGTAGCTACAACAGCATCGGGCCTCTTTTCCTCACTATGACCAAGCTATACATTAGCCGTTGTATTATTTGCTATGGAACAAGTCGTTTGAGCCAGCAAAGTGAGGGTGGCCACATGAAAAAGCAGACAGGGCTCCTGTACTTCTCTGATGGATTTGTGTGCAAGAGAAAACTTCAGTAAACAACATCTGCTGAAATTCCCTCTTCTACAAAACCATTAGGATTTGATTCCTGCTCCCCCCCGATTCCTGCCACCTTCTTTTTATCACCACCTTTGATAAGTTTGTTTTAGTGTTAGAATAACTAACTTTTCAATCTTAGGCATATTAGAGTCTCTCTTTTTTTGAGGTCTTGTAATTTAATAATCATGTGTTGTTGAACCAATTTTGCATGGTGACCCTTTTTTTGGGGGGGTGGTTGAACCAATTTTGCATGGTGACCCTTTTGGGGGGGGTTCTAGGTAGAGAATACTGAGAAGGGGTTTACCATTCCCTTCTTCTGGGAGTGCCCCGGGACAGTACAGCTTACCCCATGCCCTTCTGGGAGTGCCCCGGGACAGTACAGCTCGCCCAACGCCACACAGGCTGGCCTTACTCACAGGAGGCACAGTGGGGAACCAAACTCCCAACCTCTGGGCCTGCAGCCAGATACCTACACCACTGAATTTAGTAAGTCGTTTACAATTAGTCCCTCGTCTTCTTTTTCCTCTCTTTCCCCTTTCTCACTCTCTTTTCTTTTTCTCTCCAAATCTTTTCTTTGACGACAAGTGTCGGTAGGTGGCAGTAACAGGGCTTTTGGCGGTGTCTCGTTAAAGAAGGCTAAAGCGCCCTTTTGCACCTCCAGATGTTTTCTCCTTCCGCTCACAGAACTATCTGCTAGCATGGCCAGTGCTAAAGGATTGTGGCGACCCTAGTCCTAAAGAGCTGGCAGGCCCAAAGAACTTCCCCACCTATTTCAGGACTACTGCAGCTGAGGTGAGGGGAAAACTCTTTTTTTCCCCCTTGGACCACGGCTCCCAGAGTCCCCTAGCCAACAGGGCTACTACCATGGAATCTGGGAACTGTAGTCCCCAAAATACATAACACAAACACAGGACATCCCTCCGCTCTGGAGATGGCCAGCCTGGCCCTTGGCTCAGCTGGGTTTCAAAAAGACAAGGCACATTAAAGGGCTACAATGGGTTTAGGACGCCCCTCTTCCTCCTCCCAGCGGCAGCAGCACTTTCGATGCTTAGAAAAGTTACTTTTCAGGCTCTACCGGCTGGCTGATTCTGGGAGGTGTGTTCCAACCCTGTAATTTTCTCAGACTCTGTTCTAATTGTTAATCGGGTTGCAATGAAAACAGCCCGGACTATCCGCTAGGTCGCAGTCTGCGACTTGTCAAAAGGAAAGCGCCCATCCATCCCAGGAGGAGGGGAACCCGAGAAGGGCTTCCTC